CAAAAGGGAGAAATGCTGAAATTGACTAGACCATCCCTGACTTAATACACATTTAACTCTCCTTTTGTCTTTTATGTGGCTGTGAATTCCCTTTCCAGGTGCTGTTCCTTTGGGGGAAGCTCTGAATCAGCCCATAAGAGGTAGACCATAAGAAGTAGACCAGATAAAGAAACAGACACCAAGTGTGCCTGAAACTACTTTTATTAACTTTGATGATTGTTAAAGAATCTTGTAAGTTTAAATGTCCTTCTCCTCTTCTCTCTACACATTAATTTGGGTAGGAGGTATCTGAGTTACTTCTTAGCCCTTCCCCTTCATCTGGCCTTTTTCTCCTAGTTGCCTTATAATGGATCTTCCCTGTCTCCATCAAGGTCATCCTTTCACTCTTTACACTTTAACGGCTCACTTCTTCTCGTGAAATATTCTTTGAAGTCATTTGTTCTATCCTAGAATGCAGAGCCTTAGACTCTTCTCACTAGAGGAGAGCTTAATGCTGGGAAAGATTGAGGGCAATAGAAAAAGGGGACAACAGAAAAAGAGGTGGCTGGATGGAGTCACTGAAGCAGTAGGCGTGAGCTTAAATGGACTCCAGAAGATGGTAGAGGACAGGAAGGCCTGGAGGAACTTTTTCCATAGGGTCACAATGGGTCGGATACAACTTCACAACTGACAACAAGAATGCAACCTGCCTCCACCCTGACCTCAACCTAGAGCTGTCCAGCAGCACTTCTCCAGCAGCTGCCCCTTAACTGCAGAAATTCAAATGTCCAGTAAATGAGAAAAAACTCTTGTTTTCTCCATCAAGTAGTCAGTTGGGGAGATAGTCAGTAAATATATGTGAGAGATAAATAAAAACAAGAGCAAACATATAGCTTTCTCACACACCCAAATCCTTTTTGGAATTCCTAATCCATCAACACTTATTCAGCAACTGCATCTGGTTTTCTCATCTCCAGGTGACCACTACCTGGATGAGTGATGAGCTCCTTCCTGCTGTCTAGTAGTTTTCAATTGATAGGCTGACATTCCTTTAGAAAAGGGAGGGAGGGAGGGAGGGGAGGGATTGAATGCTCTGACTTTACAGAGTGAGAGGGGTTCAGATACCACTCTAGCACATACCTGGAGATTGGCACCTTTAAAATAAAGGGGGAAAATGCCAGTTGTTGACTTTCCAGTGCCACATGAAGGACCTCTACAAACTACAACATAGCATGGTCCTGTTCCAGTGGTGTTTTAAGGGCAAGATGTGGAGCACTGGAATTTACACCATGGTGATTCCCTCCCAGCCCTAGGAAGACAGAAGAGCATGGCGAATCATCCCCGGAGATGACCCTTGGATGTACACGGTAATGTTCCTTCCCTGAAATGGAAGAGGTGTGTTTGGGTCATGTTGACCTCCACCCTGGATTAAGACATACATGCACCTTCTCTTGTTTTGCTATTGTGATCCTTCAGATTCACCTATGTGAGTTTTAAGCATCAGCTTTCCTTAGCCCCAACCAATTTTTAGACACAACCTGCATCTTCATTTAGTTTGTCATGTTTCCCTGCATAAAAGGGAAATATTTTTTTTTAAAAAAAGAAATATTTTCATATTTTCCTGAAGTGTACTGATAATGATGATGATTTTATTTCTGAGCTTTATTTTCCCTTCAGTCTTATTTTACAGCAATAAATTATGATTCAATTATTTGATTATTATCTGGAGTAGAATATTACTGTTTAAGAATAGTTTCATTTTATAGCAATCAGCGGCCCACAATCTTGGTTTAGACAGTATGTTACATCAAATGTTTTAATAGATATTGCACTACTTCAGCCTTAGGAAGTGATGTGCTTCTGCAATTTCCTCCTTATCTTTAAAAAAAAAAATGTTTGATGTTTTGGAAAGAGAATTATCAACTAAGGAAGGCAATATCAATCAATAACCTCTACTGCTATCAAAATTGTCTCTGGTTGGCTCCATTTTTTCTTTTTTATTAAAAGCACTCTATACTTCCCTTAGGCATAAAGGTGCAGCAAAAAATGCCATGAATATTCAATAACGACAAAAGCTTGTAGACTCCTAACTCTGCTCTAAAACTGTTTTTGTTAAACTGGCTAACGTGAATGAGACCCAGGAAGGACTAAGGGCAGGGAAGGCCAGAAGCCTCAAAACACTGGACTAGAAAATGGACATGCACTTGTCCTTCACATCTGGTCCCAACTCCATTCTATTCCTCTGCCACTGTTTGCACGTAAGTAGCATTTGCAAGCAATCCATGCAGAAGGTGACTGGCTACTCTTTCCTTACGCCTACCTGATTTTGTTTTTCCGTATGTATGCACACACACACACACACACACACACACACACACCTATACCTCTCTTCCCAAATCCCCACAAACATTTCCCCTGGTGCCCATGTTTTCTAAACGGTAGCTGGGAGAGTTAAAAGCAGAAAGAACTAGAAATCCCCCAGGAATTTCTAACCTGTGTAGCAGCACAGACAGATTGTGAGTCCATCCGTCTCTCTTTGCTTTTCATGGGCGGACATGCTTGCCTGTCCCCCAAGAGGTCTATTTAACCATCAAGAAGGCATCCTGTGCAAATATACTTAAGAATGAAGTCCCACTGAGTTGCAACTGAATTGCCATCCAGGGAGAAGGAACAATTTACAGATCTTTTGACTGATTTCAGATGACAAGCAATATTTCCTTGGGTAGAATTGTGAATTTCCAGATAGAGATTTAAAACAAAGTCCTGAAATTGCCAGATAGGCATTGAAATGTCTTTGCCATGTACAACAGCAGATCAAACATGAGATTGTCTGTCAGATGATTGAAGTTCAACTGAAAGTAAAACATGAGAATCACTCTAATCATTCCAGTAAATCCATCAAGGAATAGCTGTGGGGGAAAAAATGAAAGGACATACAAGGTTCTAGAATGGCCAAATCAAACTTCATTTTCAAATCTTATTGAGATGCTATGGGGTGATTTGAAATGGCTCTACATGCAAAATTTCCCAAACGTTACAGGGCTGGAAAAAAATCTGTATGGAACAATGGGGAAAATGTTCTCAGTTGATGTCAGAGACAGATATAAAAAATGCCTGTTTGAGGTTATTTCTGCCAAAGGAGTCAATACCAGATATTCCATTCAAGGGTACATTAATTTTTTTGCACAGAAGGAAATGGCATATCTGTTAACTTTTTGTTGAATAAATAATTGCCAATTTTCATATTTTTGTTCAATGTCATCACCTGTTTATATGCTGTATGAATGAAGATAAAATATTGAAATGTGTCAAGCATGAAAGACCAGGACCACACATGAAGTTCCAATTAAACTGATTTATTATTGCATGCCTATGCACAGGAATCTATCCACTATTTTGGCACTAGATAAATAGCAATAGCACTTAGACTTATATTCACAGTGCTTTATAGCCCGCACTAAGCGATTTACAGAATCATCCTATTGCCCCCAACAATCTGGGTCCTCATTTACCCACCTCAGAAGGATGGAAGGCTGAGTGAACCTTGAGCCTGGTGAGATTCAAACTGCCAAATTGCAGACAGCCGGCAGGCGGCAGAAGTAGCCTGCAGTTCTGCACTCTAACCACTGCACCACCATGGCTCATAAAGATTAATAGAGTTTAAGAGGGGTTGGATTTAGTCCATTACGGCTACATAGTGATTCTAGGCTGATTCCTGTTTTGATTTCATCCCTAGGATGGAACCTGTCACTTCTACAAAATGTACAAACATTAAAAAAAAAAAGATAACATGGGATGTACTAACTTTTTCACATGACTGTAGGCTAAAGAGAGAAAATATCTTACTTGCAAGCAAGTATTTTATTTATTTATTTGTTTGTTTTATTTATTATTTTATTTTATTCATTTATTTGTTAAAAGCTTACAATACAACAGAAACAAGAACAAACATTAAGTTTAAATACAAGAAATAGGAACTAATAATAGGGGACAATAGAACAGGGATGATAGGCACAATTGTGCGCTTAAGCATGCAATAAAAAAAGTAGTATCAATTGTTCTAAAAACTGAGTTTTTATCCAAGGAAAAGGAGCATAGCCCACTCGTTGGATGTTGATTTGTTGGTGAAAACCTTAACCTTCCAAATAATTGTAAAATAAAAGTTCAAATTTGTGTACTTTGAAAATATTAATTTTACATGTACAGTAGGCAGATTGCTTTTCGTTTTGTGCCAGTTCTCTATTACAGGTAGTCTTCAACTTATGACCACAATTGAGCCAAAAATTTCTTTTACTAAGTGAGATAGTTGTTAAGTGAATTTTGCCTCATTTTACACCCTTTCTTGCCACAGTTGTGGTTATTTAAGTTAGTACATGGTTGTTAAGTGAATGTGGCTTCCCCATGGACTTTGCTTGTCGGAAGAAGGGAAGGATCACATGACCCCAGGACACTGCAACCTTCATAAACATGAGTCAGTTGCCAAGTGTCTGAACTTTGATCATGTGACCATGGGGATGCTGCAACGGTTGTATGAAAAACGGTCATAAATCATTTTTTTTAATGCCACTGTAGCTTTCAACAGCCACTAAATGAACTGTTGTAAGTCGAGGACTACCCATACTAGAGTTTTCTCTCTTGATCAAGGTTTCTAGGATTTTTTTCCTTAAACCTAACAAAACCTAGAGCAGGGGCATCAAACTTGCATCGTCATGGTGGCATCATGTGACGTATCGGGACTTTCCCCCCCTTTGCTAAACTGGGCGTGGGTGTGGCCAGCACATGACGCATCCGGCCTGCGGGCTGCAAGTGTGACAGCCCTGACCTAGATCCTTAAAAACTTTGAAAACACCTGTTTTACAATATGTATAACACATTTAAAGATTCCTCTTTTTGTTTGATTGAGTGCTAAAACGCACTACTCGGTTTTGGAACTTTGTTTACTGCAAGCAGGGTGTCTTCTTGAACAGGGGCATTATTTTTGAAACCAGTGCTACAGTTTATACTGTTCTTATCACTCACAGGTGGAAAGCATTGTCCTCCTCCTTCATCACTCCAGGAGTATCGACTGTGTAATGAGCATTCTTGCAATCAGCTATACTGGGAAACCTCTGCATGGAGTCTCTGTTCAGAAAATGCCCTGCTAACAACTGTGAATACTACTATCAATTGGAACAACAAGGCAACCTGTGGAGTTGGAGTCCAGACTAGGAGGGTGTTTTGTTTGAAAAATAACTCTGGCCAGGTCCCAGCTAAAAGGTATTCAGTATGGCTATAATATTTGGTTTATTCTCCTCTGAACACTCTCATACTTTTAGTTCTGTACAAATTGGAGAAGGCCATTATAGAATTGTGCACTTAGCAAGATGGTGGACATGCCACCCTCATTACCACATAACTCCTCTCATTCTTTCTCTGGTAAATTCATGCTTCCCTTGTTAAGAGATGAACAGAGCTGCATCGAAGTGGTCAAATAGGCAGTCAAATAGACAGAATGGTCTCCCCCATGCACAGCATAAAACGGATAGACCTGTAAATTTGTAAGATGCAAAGTATGTTTTTCTCCCAGATTAGGTGGAAAAATAGGCCTTAACTGTACTGAAATTCAGGCAGGGACATAAATGTGCGGAAACCCATCTGGCACAGCTACCACTTGCAGGAGCTATGAGTTTTGGAGGAGCCCCACATTGTGCATAATTTCTGAGCTGAGATATAAAACCCTATTCAGAGACAAAGATAATACTCCCCTGGAATTATTTGGCCCAGAAATGTAAAGTCTGTTCCTCTTCATATGGACTTAATTTCAGTGTTATGATTTCTGCTCACCTCCAACCTCAAGTTTCACCCTGAGAGAAACTCCCATGGGCAAAATTTCCAGGTGCATGAGGCCAAATTTTACTGAGGAAAATTTGGAAAATGCTTTCAAAACCGGTTCTCTTTCCTTTAAGGTAAATTTATTAGGACTATGTAGCTATTGAAAAATATTTTGCCAGAAGTATTTTAGATCTTAGGTGAATAAAGGGCCCTCTCTGCTATTTTCTGGAACAGCCCACAAAAGATATTGTCACATTAACTTTAATGAGGAAGGTTCCTTAAAGCGTCTCTCTCTTTTTCTCTTCAGGATCACAAACAAGCTTGTTTTTTTTTAAAAAAAACCTATTTTAAGGAATAATAGAAAGGTGTTGTATTCACATGAGGTCTGAAATCCTCTTTTCAAATCATATTTCAGTTGGTTATAGCCCCTATACTCCAGCCTCAGATTTTTTTAAAAAGGATGCTAAATAACCACTACTCCATTAGGTTTGATTGAAATTATCCTATGAAAAACAAATGTGATTCTAAAGAAGATATTTAGCCTCTCAACTGACCTAATCTGCTTGGCTTTAGTAGCTGGGAGAAATAAGAAATACAGATGCTTCTGCATTTTTTTTTCCAAATCAAGACATAGCTAATTACTTTTGTGCTCTGTTAATGAGTCCAGAGAATTACAAACTAGTTTTAATTCTTATTGCATCTTTTCCTCTCTCTCCTGAAAATGAGCAGGCTGTGTTGACTCCTGTACAGTTAATTAAAATGCTTTAAGATAATGAGACTAATTGATAAGAAAAAAAAAAACCCTCCTGTTTCTTCAGAAGAAAAAGCTTCATCAGCTTTTGGTTTTGTTCTCTATTCCATCATACATTGTTTAACACATAATTGGGTCTTTACTCTTACACAGAAGTCTAATGACATAGATGTATTGCTGAGGCAAAAGTTGTAGAGTATTGTGATCGGCTTGGAATATTAGAAGAAGATGTGATCAGAAACAATAGTGAAAGAACATCTTCCTCTAACATAATATGAATTTAATGCACATAGCCACAGAGATTTCTAAAATTGATACTTCTGATTTTTCAGTAGAAAAAAAATGATTTAATTTGGTCGCTTCAGGGCTCATTTAGCAATACGTGTCAGAGTGAATGTGAAGATATGAAGAAAGCTCGCGCTAACAACTCTCGCCAGCCCTGGCTTCTGAGTGAACATAATCCAGTTGATTATATTTTTCTCATTGATTTTTGGAATATAATTTTTATTTATCTACAGTACATTTTTATCGATTTTTTATCTATCCATGGTGCATTGCGCCATGATACCAGAGAGGAGTACATTACATGAGCAAGCCACGCATTCTTTGGACAAGGAAAATCATGCTAGGATTAGCATAGTGCCCATGTGCAAAAATGTAATTTAAATGGCAGAAAAATTAACATTCTTTAGGGTTTTTTTCCTGCCAACTAAAATATGGTTAGCTATAAGATGCCGGTGTCCTGTCTTCTTTTCTAAGCTTTATGTTCTATATCTCATGTAACTCATTTAGTTTAAGTTGCTAGAAGTGGGTGGGATTTGCCACCCAGTTTCTGAATATGAATTTGTGAATTTCATCACATTAGCAAAGAGAAAAAATAGTATGTGGCTAGATCTGCTTATTATATTGTATTTGTCTATTTATGAAAATTTAAACATTTGGCGTTGCTTTAAGAGCTGCTGTAGAGATGATTAAGCATAGGATAACTTCAAGGAGATCTATGTATCTACATAAATATTCAATTTACCTTAGAGTGCAATTTATGAAATGAGGATTTTTCCTTCTTTTTATTTGAAGGAAATGGGAGCTAAATACATTTTCCATTTTACAGATTTCCAAGTAGATAAAAAAATGAATAATAAATTTGAAAGAGATTAAAAAACCAACACTAATAAAAAGACATTGTATATAGAGAATTCATGGGAGAACAAAACTTATTAAACTTATTAAAACAATGCAAACTTATTAAAACAATGCAAACTTACTAAAACAATGCATTTCACAGTGTGCTTTGATTAACTTAACAAAAGCTTGACATTATTAAATTTGCACACAATTATAGCCATATGATTTATGTTTGGTTCCTACCAAATTTTTGACTGATTGAAACAAAATATTCTTCATTGTATTCTGGTTCCTACCATAAAGACTGCCAGAGATTAATATATTAGTTATTTGGATGGTCTTATTTTATTTCTGCTATTTACCTATTGTTCCACCCAAGCAGACATGAGACAGCAACAAATACTAAAACTGAAACAATTCCATCAGCGTTGTTAAAATCAATGCCAGTGCTGATGGGTACATATCAATTGATTTCTAAAGACTCACAAATGGCCAAGTTTTCATAAGTTTTTGTAAAGTCTTGAGAGTAGGAGCCATCTTCACGTTGGAGACAATCTGTTTTAAGGAAGCAGAGCTGTCTAAGTGAACTCTGCCACCGTGGCACTTCCCCACACATCACCTAATAAGAAGGGGACATCTCCTGGTTGTCAAGATTGGCTAGCCATGGCTATCTGGCAAAATTCTCTTCTTGGATTTAGTGGATTTAACATCTCATTGCTGTGACTACCTGGTGAAGCCCCAGGCTGCTATATTTTGTACCAGCTGATACCTCTGCCTGTTCTTCAAGGGCGACCCCAGGTAAAATGAAATGCAGTAATCCAACTAAGAGGTGATAAGGGCATGGATGGCCATCCCTGATGCACTTAACAGAGTCCCCATCCAACCTTTCTCCTATGCATCCATTAAGTGGTTCTACTAATTCAAGTTCCACCATAATACAACGCATCCAACTCCAACTCTTAGCAAGAACAGTGACCCATATAGAAAGGCACTGTAGCTTATGATACTGAATGCCACAAAAGGGTCCAGAAAAATATCTGGAGGAATGGTGATGGTCCCTCCTGGTCCAACCACCAATCTTCCATGGGAGCATGGGCATTCCTTTCTGCTTTTTTCTTCTTACTTGCTTTGGCTTGTCTCCTCTTTTTGACAATTTCCACTACCTGTCCTGACATCTTGGTTTTTTTCTTCTTCTTTCTTTTCACAGTCATCCTTAAATCTTCTTTAATACATCCCTCAAGTTTCTCTAGTTCCCTATCAGTGAGTCTCAGGATTTCAAAATTATTTTTCATGTTCTCTTTAAAATTGATGGGTATATGCTTAATACCAAATTGTGGAAGCACTTCATTGTTCTGCTTAAACTTGATGTGGAATTTGCACAGGGGAAGTTCATGATCTATGTTCCATAGTCATCCCCTGCTTTTTCATCCATCTTTGCTTTTATAACTGAGCTTCTCCACTTTGTATCAGTAGTAGATAGTCAACTTGGTGTCTGCATGATCTATCTGATGAAGTCCATAAATATAGGCATTGTTTTATTTTTGAAGTTTTATTTATGAAGATTATCTTCCTTATAGTTATGAAGAAATATTTGGATTGCAGAAATTGGTAAGTCATCTAGGTCAGTGGAATGCAAGAAAATTTTGGTGGTCCACAGAGAAATGTCACCCCCAAAGCACCCCCTAAAGCAATTAATCCAGACTTCTTGGTAACACAAGGCTGCGCCGCCCACATGGCCTGCAGGAACACAAGGCTTGCATTGCTTGCATTGAGGAGAACACGAGGTAGTGAGGGGAGGGGAAAAAGGGTGGAGGGGGGAACCTGCCCCACGCGCCTGGCCTGGCTGCTTCTTTCTACTTCTTTCTTCTCTTTTGGCTGCATGCAAGGAAAGCAGCAAAAGTCTTTCTTTCTCTCCCCCAAACTCTACCAGAAATGAGTCTTTGGGACCCTGCAAGGCCTCCTGCTACAAGAGGCTGCATAAAGACTCATTTCTGGGGGAGTTTGGGGGAGAGAAAGAAAGGCTTCTGCTGCTTCTGCTGCTTTCCTTGCATGAAGCCATCTATCTCTCTCTCTCTCCCCCCCCCCCCCCCAAGAGTGGAGCTGGTGATGGTATCCTGTGATCCCAAATAAAGAATGATTGATTGGTAGGAAAACAGGGTGGGGAATTTTTCTGCAGACTTTTTTGGGGGATTTTTCCCAGGGTCTCTGGTCCGCGGGGTTTAAAATTATGAGTTTGGTTGTCCCTGAGGTCCAAAAGGTTGGTGACCCCTGATCTAGGTTACCAAGCTGGCTTTGTACCTAAAGCAGGACAAGAACTCGTGGCCTTCCCAGTTTCTAGGCTGATACCTAAATCATTACACCAAACTAGATTTTGAGGAGCCCATTATACAGCACTATATTATCACTATACTATCAGTTACTTTATCTTACCTGTCAGTGTGGTTATCTATATAAAATACAGGAGTGGTTTACTACTGCCTTCTGTGTAATCTGAAATGATGCCCTTGTCATTTTCATTAAAATGGCCATCCATCTCTACCATCTTTTAATATTTTTGCTGCCCAGTACAGGTCCCTGCCTACTTTACAGGGCAGATGAGATGAATTTCATGCCTTGGTGAATCCACAAGAAGAGTACACTTCATTCATCCCTCTGAGAAATATTCACCTACCCTGACATTTTTGCAAGCTCTCTCAAATCAATGCTAGATAGCACAGAGAGAGAAAGATCAGTGATAATTATCTCTTCTCACTCTTCACAGAAATATTTACAAAATACTTAAGGTTTTAAAAAAGAAACTCAAAATGAAACTTCCAGTTTGAGCTTTTTTGGCGACAGACCGAAATCTGCGATCGTGCGCAGTTTCGATCTGTGTTCACCACTGGAGCGCCCCGAGCTGGCTGGTTTCGGGGCCAAGCCACCCTGTAGAGGTGGTGAAGAGGGGGGAGACTGCCAGCAGGGTTGAGGAGAATTGCATCTCTCCTCCCCAGCTGGCCTTGCTCCCTTTCCCGAAGGCAGTTGCAGCGGTGGTCAGAAATGGCCACCTCAAAGAAGAATTTGACTGGAAAAGAATGTGCAGGAGAAAGATAAGAAGAGAAAGTTTTGGCTGACCAGGTTGAACTGGAAAAACAATACAAGGTACCCTGGAATTTGAATTATAAAGAAAAACATTGTTCCCAAAGAAGACTTTGAAGAAGTGAATGAGAGAGGGAAGGGAAAGGATTTGGGTTTTTTTTCTTTTCTTCCCTGTATTGACAACTAAGAGATTTAAGCAAGAAACCGGCAAAAATCCACTTTGACATTAACAGGTATTTAACCTGAAAATAAAATGTCAAAGGGATAATAAAGATTTCTAGATTCTCAAAAACTTTTAAAAGAAGGAAAAAAACAAAAAGGCGGGATCTAGAAAAATGGAGGAGACCACCTGGAAGTGAAAGGAATTAATAGTGAAACTTTAACAAGATTCCTAAAAGATATATTTTACCTGAAACTTTGTAACAAGATAAGAGAACCCCAGGAAGAGAAAGTGGAAAAAAGAAGCAAGAAGAAACAGCTCTGGATTATTTGGATTACTTGGTGATTTTTGGATTTTCAGCTATTGGATTTAAAGGACTAAAATTAATCGGGTGGTTGTTTAAAAGTTTTTAAAATGGTATCACTCTTGGAAGAATTGAGAATGGAACTTAAAAAACAGAAAGAAGATGCATAAGAAGGAAGAGGTTCTTTTGGCTTTGTATTTCAATTTTTAGAAATGGAGATCCTGAACTATGAGAAACAACAAGAAATGCCTGTAGAACAAGAAGGGCGGGACAAAGAAGAAGCCATCTTCAATGACCAAGTATTTTTATGTGGGGAAAAGAAAGGAAAAGGGGGAAAGAGAGTGAAAAATTTAAGATCTGAAAAAAAAAAAACTCAAAAAAAGAATAGTTTGAAAAGTAATTGCAACATTAGGAAGAAACAGAAGAGAGGATTACGGAAGAGAGAAACAGAATTAGAGAAGGGGTCAAAAGGGGAAGGGAGAAGGAGAGGGGGAAAAAGGAAAGGAAAAGAAATTATAAAGGACAGAAACAGGGCATAGAGGAACAGGGAAAACGTACAAGATACAGAAATAATGGGTGAAAACTTAATTGAAAGGGGGATTCTGCAAGGGTACATAAGATAGTATGGTTATATTAGAAATAGAAATGAACTTTGAAAATATGAAACAAGTATGATTAAAATGATAGATAAAATACTCATTGTAATGTAGTGGAATGTTTAATAAATAAATGAAATAAAGAGAATGAGAGAATGAAATTAGGAAAGGAGGGGAACATTTTAATTATTATAAATGTGTTATAAAAATTTAAGTGAAGAGGAATATGAAAGAAACATGAAAAATTATGGAAATATTATAAGTGTTCCTAGGAGTATGATATACTATTGAAAAGAAATGTTAAAGATGTCAAAGATTAAAACTAACTAACAGTGATAGAGCTGAATTGGAATAAAATAAGTATTTTATTAATTATTGTTATATATATTTTCTCTTTAAGAACTTAGCGCGTGTTTTAAGAATGTACCAAGCAGAATTTGACTGGAAGTTATGTGTTATATTGAATGTTATAATTGTAAAGGCATAAATTGAAGTTTAAATGAGAGCTGAATGGATAAAAATTAAAAGATACAAAGGTGTCATACTCCAATTAGTAGCTACAGGGAAAAATTTTGTTTAATAAAAAAAGAAAATATGAAGTTGAAACAGGACAGACAAAAGCATAAATATGATGACTAGAAAGGTATTGAAACTTAGAAAAAAATATATAATTGAATTTAGAAAAGAATGAGATAATTAAAAGTGAGATTGAGAAAACTAAGGGAAGGGAAAATTATTGAGAAAATGTTAAAATGGTAATAAGATATGGAATAGAACACAAAGATGAATATGAAATTGAATTTGTGTCTATATGGAGAAGTGATAACCTTGAGACCATGCTATTCTCAAAAAAAAGAAATTTTACTTGTATTATGTTTTGTGAAAACCCAAATTATTTATTTATATTTATATTTATATTTATATTTATATATATATATATATATATACACACACACACACACACACACACACACACACACACACACATATGAAAACTCAAAATCCAGCCTGCTAAATTCAGTTTCACTAGGGAATGCCAGAAAAAATATTCAATATGCCTTGCAAAACAAAACAAAACACACACACAGAAAAAAAACCCTGAAGAGATCTCTTTTCTGTCTAACTACCTGCACATAGCAATACTGCATTCAGAGCTGTGGTGCTGTGGTGGTGCAGGCGTTAGAATGCAGTACTGCAGGCTATTTCTGCTGACTGTCAATTACCAGCAGTTTGGCAGGTCGAATCTCACTAGGCTCAAGGTTGACTTCCATCCTTCCAAGGTGGGTTAAATGAGGACCCAGATTGTTGGGGGCAATAGGTTGACTGTAAAACCGCTTAGAGAGGGCTGTAAAGCACTGTGAAGCGGTATATAAGTCTAGGTGCTATTGCTATTCAGTGTTTTCTCATTGATGGCAAGTAGGTGGGTACTTTTTATTTCATAGCGGCAGTTTACTATAATTTATATTTCTGTGTGTAATTGTACAGTTCCTGTTTTGAAATAAATTAGGTATACGTGCAGTCTTCCTACAGTAAGTGTGACTTGTTCTTAGATGAGTGTAGGGATTCTGTTTTGCTAAAGTAATGTTGGGGTTTAGGGGACTGTTGTGCAGTTACCCAGAATTGCATTCAATCCAGGGCACCTAACTAACCACATGTTATACAATTGTATTGCCAGGTGTCCAGAATCCATTAAGCCAGAAACCATCCGCTCATGCTTGCTCCCGTGTAAGAAAGATTGTGTAGTGACCCCCTTCAGTGAATGGACACGCTGCCCTACCATCTGTCAACATGGTAAGCTGGTCTAGAAGAGTCAGAATCAATCCTCCAGTTGTTCAGTCCTACCCTAACCAATACTTAGTAAAGTTTTGGATAAGGAATAAATTTTGAAATGAAATAAAATATATTATATAGAATGTTTTAGAATAAGTCATCTCAGGTAGCTGATGACCCTTTTAAATACATGGTATACTCTTCAGGACATGAGACCATATGAAAGAAGGCAATGAAATTTCTTCAGGACATGAGACCATATGAAAGAAGGCAATGAAATTAACATTAAAAACATGGCATAGCTAAGGATATGCTTGGCAATAAGCCAATAAATGATAGGTTCAGTTCTATTGACTTGAATAGATATTCAAGTCAGTAGAACTGAAGTGTACTGTATGTACCTAGTACAGATGTGATGGTAGAAGATAATGGGATATTCTATGGCAAATTGTAAGAGTTGTCAATGCAACATCAAGCAAAGATAAAGAACTTCTAAAAGATTATTAGAATCCCAGAGTTGGACAAATTGAAGCTTCCAGAACTACTGTACAGGAAGGTTTGATTTAGGTAAATGCTTCACAGAAATAGGAGACATATCAAGACACTTCCAGATTAAATTGTGGTACAAACTATTCATTGTTTGTATCAAACGCTTGGTTAAATTTACAAATTTAAAGAAAGTAGGAATGCCAGCAAAACTTGATCTTGAATCATTAGATCTATTTAAAGTACAGAATGTGAGATGCTATGCAAAGAAATAATGGGCACCATAAAACCATTATAACAAAATAAATCCCAAACTTTCAAAGATGAAGGGATCATAGTGGCTTTTTTAAAACTTGAAAGGATAAGGAGACTTGGTAATTGGGCCAGGACCTACTATTGTTTTCACGCTTCCAGTTCATACAAGAAAGGACTAGGAAAGATACTTCAAGAATGTAAAAAAGAATTTTTAAAAAAGAATAAAATAGCAATAAAATAAATGGTTTAAGAATCCATAGGAAAATAATTCTACATGAGGTAGAAATACTCAGTAGTAAACATGGAAAAATTTGAATAGAAGCGAATGAGGTGAAAGAAAGATGAAAAGATTATGCTGACACAATTTAGAAGTGGAAGTGTATAGTTCTCTACAAAAACATTTTTAGAAAAGGGAATATGTGCAATTCCATTAGAAGGTGAGATATAAAAGCCCAGCTATCAATAGGAAAGTAAACATGCAATTAAAATAACTGTACTGTTTGAAGCTGCAACAGAAGAGGCAATTCATGTGTTAACAATTCTAAGTCACTAAACATAGAATAGGTTTGAAGTAGATATTATACCATAATACGTATATTTGAGAGAATACACAGATTACCGAATCATCACAGCAACTCTCATGCAAGCAAACTTTTACTTAAGATCTTAACGAAAATGAGAGAGATGCCAAATGCAGTTATTTAAAAAGGGAGTGAGATATGCAGTGCAACTGTTGACCTAAGATGGAGAGAGCAAAAGAAAGTTTATTTTTTGCGTCATGTGGCGCATCAAGGCTTTTGATTGTGTAGATCGTGGTTTTTCCAATATGGCAACTTTAAGACATTTTAAAATTGCCAAGTTTGAAAAATACTGTTGGAGATAATGTCTGACACAAAACATATTAAATCAAAAGGTGTGTCAGAGCACATAACTATTCCTCTGATGAATCTTTTCCTTGAATAAGAAGCTACTGTTGGAACTAAATTTGGAGAAGCAGAATAAGGAAGGGGATGAGACAAGGGTATATATTGTCACTGTATCTGCTTAATTTATGCAATGAATATATCACAAAAACCAGCAGGATTTAAATAGATGACAGCTGAAATCAAAACTGGAGATGACAGTGCTTTGTTAAAAGAAAATAAAGAAGATGAAGAAGAGCTTATTCTAAAAATAAAAATGGAACATGAACAATGAAGGTTAGTTTTCCAAATTTGGAAAGCAGAGGTAATCTTAACCCGAAGGCTCAGTGAACTTTGATGGTTGATAGTAAAGAAGTGACAGTTGATAGAAAGTTTTATATTTTTAGCTTCAAAAGATGGAGAATGAGCTGGAAAAAAATTAAACCAGAAATTAATCCTGGTGATATAGAACATGATTAACTTTAAAAACATCGTAAAAGATAAATATGTATTTATGAGTAGTTCAGAGTAGTTAAAACTACAGTTTTTCCAGTGGTAGTGTATGAGTATGAAACCAGAACATTTAGAAAGAGTGAGAAAAATTAGATATGAATCTGGAGATGATTATTATCATGGACTGGAAAGAAAATCAGTTAACGGATACCAAATTAAACAAACATAGCTTTTCCACTTTGTGATTATCGGTCAGCAGAAGCTCACATTTTTGGGCCATGTAATATCAGTGAATGCTGAACTAGGACAAAATTTTTATCCTTGGCAAGATTGCTTGAAGAAGAAAAAGAACGCAACAGATAGGGTAGATGAACAGGATCAAGGAGATTACAGAATTCTCTTTGGAAGAGCCAAAGGGTATTATTAGAGAGAGGTAAAGGTAACAAGCACTTGTCCATGGAGTCTACAAATAGCCAAGTTATCTACTTGCATTTCAATGAAAAATCCCTTCTTAGTAAAGGCTTTCAAATATACAGTAAGTAAGGCCTTCAGAGAGGAGCTTTTCACCCTGCCGGGATAGAGATCTCTTTGCCCTCCCTCCAATCCACAGTTTGAGCTGTTTCAGGCAGCTCAGATGCTGCTATTTCAGACAAATTGTAAGTTACCTGCATTCACATCTAGTTTTGTCACAAACAGATTGCTGTGAAAAGCAGCTGTTTTTACGATTATTTCCCTACTGCCTGATGTTTTCCCCATTGGCTCAAATCTTAGATACTTACAGCTGATGTAAAGTCCGATTTTCAAGTTAAACTCGATTCCTGGTGACTTCATGGACACATATTCAGTACCAAGCTGCAATTTATACTATTCCCCTCCTCATCAGTTCTTTCTAATCTACTGTGAGTTTACCTTTGCAATAGGCAAAGCACGCGTATTTCTGTTCATGCATCTTGACTTAATATTTGGAGAGGAATTGTCACTTCTGTTTGACTAAACCTTCACTAAACATAATTAAAGTTAGAGAACTTGATTCCTGGTGATTAGAAGGATATATCTATTTATTTAGGGTGAAGAGAAATATGGAGGTTGTTTCCCATTGCCTTATTGTATTTTTTTTTTTAACTTCTCAGCAAAGGAATCCCTGGAGGTTCTCATTCAGATACAAACCCAACCCAACCCAACCTTAATTAGCTTTTAAGTCCAGTGTTCCACTTAATAATGTGACAAAATGTAACTTATCACCCTCAGCTGGATGTTTGAGTTAATTGTGCTGAACCATAATAGCTATTGGTATGAAAGATTGAATAGATTCTAAAGATGGACTATATATTCTGACTTAAATAGTTGACTTAGCTCTATTTGAATCTATAAATTCAGATTCTACATAGAAAGCTGAAGTTTTCATTGGTATTTAGATGTACCCCAAAATTCATTGTAGGAAAGAATGTCATAGTAATGTTGTAAGAATAAGCGCAAGCTGTGGGTAAGTATTCTTCTCTTCCCACATGTATCTCAGATGAGATTTAACAACAAGACTATCTTTGGAAATAGCACATGGCAAAGTTCATAACTTAGAAAAGGTTTGATCTGAACTCAACATTATACTACCTCTCTTTACTTACTCCAAACAATAAAACATATTCCCTCTCTAAGAAAGCACTTCCCACCATTTTTTTCCATATCTGGTACAATATGGTGTTTTTTTTAGGTTGATATAAAGCTTTTTGCAATATTTTTGCTTTGTTTGACTGAGCTTCTGTTTATTCTCATCTTTGCTCTCATTCATTTTACTCATTTTTATGAGTAAAAAATGAGTTATTGCTTGTGAATGGCAGTGGCACTATATTTTAAGAAAAAAAAATCATAGTCCATTTAAAACAAAGCAAATAATATGGTAATTAATTGTTGGTTTTTATATGTTATTAGATAAAGAAAATGAATTCAGACATACATTTATTCTGCTTATTAAGAAATGTTGTAGCATTAAAAGCCTCTCCAACATCATATTTAATTTCATTGAAATAGTTATCATTTAATATGGTTCTAAATTCAAACTAAGTGGTAAAGAATTATGTTATGCACTGGATTTAATTTTAATTTGCTATTTTGTGAGTTCTTTAATTTATGCTGCACAATTAAAAACATAGCACAACTGGAAATTTAGAAAACCACTCAATGGCGAATGCATCTAAATTAAACAGAAAAGATTATTTAACAAATACATAAACCACTGAATGGCTAAGCTGCAAACATAATCACAGTCAAGTTTTAATTTGCCAGTGATAAAACAGAGTATCTGCAAAAATAATGGCAGCTTAAGCAAACAACATTGACAGTCACATCAGATGTTGGCAGCAGTCTGTTAGATAAAATATGAAGAACTGAACTGCGCAATTGGTGTCTAGCTTTTCTACCTATTGCTTGCCCTGCAGTTAAATGTCAGCAAAATGACTGTTTTCTACTGAAGACTTATCATGCTCTGTTGAGTGCTTAAGGTATTAACAGATATTGGAAGACAAAAATTTAAAAGAGAAATTTAAAATGAAATACAGAAAGTTCTTTAGTTCTTTTCCGTCTTGTATACTCACTTTGCTTAGAAATTCAAAAAAACTGAATATATTTAAAGTTATTCTAAGCAAAGTACTTTTGCCACTGACATGCAGAGCGGTTTAATGTAATAGGGTCTTTTTGTAAAATTTACAGGAAATATTCAAAGAGCTAGAGTAAAACTGAAGAACAAAGTGGTATTGTTTAACTAAACCTTAATATCCAGAGTTAATTTCTGTGAATTGCATTAGCCAAGAAAATCTGTCATAAGTGGATTGCTGGTGCTTTTTTAAAAAAAACCACACCAGAGCTAAAGATGACCCAAATATAGAAAATGGATCTTTCTTTATTTTCCTTGAATACCTATTCCATGGAGATAAGGCACTTCTATACTGTAAGAAGTCAAAAGGAGCAAAATAATGATCCCAGACCCCACACATTCTTTCTTTCTGTTTCTTCTGCTGTAATATTTTTTACCCACTGGATGCTTCTTTCAAAAAATTTCATGTTGAGCCACGTCTGTGCAAATACTTACTCTGAACCTGAAAATAGTCATCGATGCTTTATTTTTATGAATGGTTATGAGACTAGGAAGGGCAGGGTTGGCTGTAGAGGGGCTCTTCCATAATCAGCTATTTTTCTGGTCCTGATCCATCGGAGCAAAGAATTGTCAAGGTTTCAGGAAATAAAAATTACATAATATATTTTATTAAAAGCAAAACAGGTAATCCTCGACCTACAGCCATGTGTTTAGTGACCATTTGAGGTTAAAACAGCACTGAAAAAAGTGACTTAAGATAGTTTTTCACACTTATTGTTTTCACACCTATTGCAGTACCCCCGTGGTCACATGATCAAAATTTGGATGCTTAGCAACTGGCATGATGTACTTAGGACAGTTGCGCTGCCCCGGGATCATGTGATCACCTTTTCCAACTTCCCCAGCCAGCTTCTGACAAGCAAAGTCATTAGGGAAATCAGATTCATTTAACAACCACATTACTCACTTAACAACTGCAGTGGTTCACTTAATGACTGTGGCAAAAAAAGGTGGTAAAATGGGGCAAAACTCACTTAATAACTGTTTTGCTTAGCAATGGAAAGGTTGAACTCAATTGTGGTCGTAAATCGAGGACTAACCTCTATAACTAAAGTCTGAAGTAAGTGAGATACTTCAGAAAGAGAAGTGAATATCAGTGATGTGCAAAATCGGCTATCCTTGATAGAAAACCATTTCTATACGCTTGAAAATACCTTAGGGAATACCACTGCAAAAAAACAGTCCCGCTACAGGATCATCGTTCAAGATGCACTTAATGGAGGAACAGAATGCCCGGACACTTTATTTGAAGAGAGAGAGTGTGAAGGTGTTTCACTTTGTCCCACCTACAGGTAAAGTAAGAAAATATCTCTAAACATACGATTTGTCAGAATGGCATTCCTCAGTGAGGCACTTGCTTCTGCACAGATTTAGGAAAAAAACTAATCTCCGTTTTTCATAGCAACCCTTTTACTTTCAGGCCTTGGTCTGAATGAAGTGGCTTCCTTAAAGCAGTAGCATCTTTTTCTTAGGCTTGTGTTTTAAAAATCACAAGAGAGCCAAAGCTTTTCTTCCAAATTGTTTTCAAAATGTCTTCAGCCCTATTGATTGCCCTCTTTGGACAATGCATTATTTCGATTGACAGTATAATAATATAGCTGTGTATATAGCAGTGTACTATGGTATACAGTAATATACCTAAGTATATAATAATGTGCTATTATTTATAAATGTACAACAAGGTTCTGGGCTTCAGAGAAGACTTGATCTGATCTTGGATTAAATCCAAATTACCCTTTCAGCATGGATCCCTGGCTGAAATGAGATGCAGAAATTCTATCATTCTAACTTTAGAACTTTATTTGGAGCACAAGGTTGAATTGTGAGGTCCTTGGTGCTCTTTGAGCTTAGTTATTTTCTTCCATACGTTTTATTCACCAACAACGTAACCTCATCAGTGTAGTAACACTTCATTAATCGGCTAGGTGACATCATCAGTGCTACTGTACTGATGATGTTACTTAGATGGGTAATAAAATGTCTGGAAGAAAAAAACTAAGCTCAGAGTGCAGCAAAAAACTCACAATTGTAACTGTTTTTATTTCATAAGTGAATGGGACAGCCTCTACATAATTCAACCTTTGGAGGATATGATCCTTATATTTACATTCGAGAAGGATACAAAAGAGAATATATGAGTCAAGGCTTTATATAGCTTCTTATAATATACATTTATTAAAATGCAATGTTTTATATATGGAAGTACTTATTCTTTTATCATTTACTTATGGAAATGAAACTAATGAGTCGATTAAACAGTTTCAGTAACAACATGAAGATTCTTTTTGGAAACCAAAATGCTCAAAAACACACCTTGAAATAAGGTACACTCACATACTATACAAGTCTCCAGGGTTCGTTTGTATTATTGCATTTGAGTCCAATTTTGTACATAAATGTTACTACTTGCATTGGTTTATTTTGATATTTAACACTTAACTTTAAATTTTAAGAAACACTATTAAAAATGTTAAAGTATTGAAGTGTTAAAGATCCAGCTATGGGTATTGTTGAACTTTTGTCTAGAATGAATTATTTTTGATATAAACGTTAATATAAAAATTAGTTTGTCACCTAACCCTAACTCCATTATATGTGCTCCAACATCATGTCTCCTGAATCCAGATATTATCAGGCCCTCAAAGAAGTAGACTTTGGCATTTTTAAAAAATTATTTTATTTAAAGTGGATGAGTTTATTTAGTTATTCTATTTTAAATAATTAGGAAGAATCGCTGAAACGAGTAGCTGACTGACATAGGTCCTGTTACTCTCAAGCATCATGGCACCAGCCATTGCTATAATAATAAAGCATGACACATCAGGTGACACAATAGGCCCGGCAATATCCCTGACTGAGTAAGCTAAGATGTTATTGGTGCAGCCCCTAATTAAATTCTGTGGGGGGGAAAATCAGAACCAACAAAACAAACTAAATCTGATGCATCATAACTTCTGTTTCCATTTCAGTTGGAAGATCCACAAATGGGGTCAATGCTTATTGGTGCCTGATTCAGTAAGACAAGGTGTATTAGGAATCAATGAAGCATGTGGGCCCGGTTTGCAATCAAGAGGTAAGAGTTCATAAATAAATTTTGTTACTCTTTATTAGCTATTTTCTCATGGTACCTAACACTTTGCTAGATGCGAATGGTATTTTACAAGATCATTTCAGACTAGCTAAAAGTCATCTGCCTCCTCCAGTCACCTATGAACAAAACAATGACAGCAACGAAGGATTACATTAAGTATTTATTGTAATTAAAACACTCTGAATGTGGCTTATTGTGATTAATAACTCATATATTTCTCATGATAAATCTTGGCCTCAATTATGGTTACACAATTGATTTGGCAAGAGAGATGTGGGATATAGCTGAGGGATGCTGAGAGCCTTTCAGGACAGACCAGACTAGGAAATCAAAGTCATGAATGTAATGTTAATTTTATTATAATGTTACAGTAACAGAATCTTGCACATCTGAATGTGCTTTACCCATCCCTTCCTTTATCATCCTGAGAACCATGGGGATTCTGTCTGAGTCCCTTATTCATACTACATTTCTGCCCCAGACAAAGATTTCTTTTTATCTGCCCGTGTCTCGGTATCATTGTCATGTTCCTCAAGTTTATTCCTTCCGCCCATTACAAGTGCAAGAAAAATGCTAACACAGCACATTGACCCTGGGTGTCAGACTCCACAGGCTGAAAATAATCCCATTTTACAATGAAAGTTGCTGTCCTGCCTATCTCTCCAGATTCTGTTCATTAAGTGTCAGGGCTTCAACCCATTAGTTCCTGGTTATCAATGAGTCACCCTGAATAGATGACAACCGATTAACATAATAACAGCAACATTGTCAACTTGCCACTCTTATCATCACTCTAAAAGCTTGAACATGAACTTTTACCGGTGCTTGTTAGATCTACTTTTCACTTGTTCTACCAGTCCTCCTAATGGCTCACCTAATGTTTTTGTCAAGTTTCCAAGTGATGAAATCCATTTTAAAAAGAAAAGCACAAAGTCCGTCTTCCAAGACAATTTATTTTATTTAGGAAAGCATCAAATTGGCAAAGTCCATGGTCATTCCGGATCTGACACAACCCAGAACTACACCACTTATTAGAAGTTAGAAACAACCCCCCAAAAGTAACATTCTCCAATAGAAGTAATTCAGTGTTGCTTGGTGTTATAAATCTCCACCTCCAGTGCCTAGGCATGGGCAGCTCAGGTTCCCATGGAAAGAATGATCAACCTAGCCTAAACAACTCTATCTCCACTCCTCCCCCCTTAGGAATGTGGCAAGCCCAAAACCCTTCCCCCATGCCTGCCAAAGAGAAAGTAAGAAAAAAAAACATATATTAAGCCTAATTAAAATGGCTACACATATGTCAATACTGGGCTTGACAGTTTTATGTCTCTGAGGTAATTCCGAAGTTTGCCAGCAGGAACGAGCTGCTTGTGAGCTATCCGATCAAACACCTGCAGCATTTCTTGATACCAGAGTCCAACATGTACTCAACAAAGATGCCCACTAGAGCACTGGCAAAATATCCAAGTGCCCACTATAATTTATCTAACAGGCCCACCCACTCTGTGAAAGTTCCAAGCTGTGAAAGCCACAGTTGGATCAAGAAAGGATCTGTTCCTGGCCATGCAGTCTGATATCCTCTGTATCCTGCTCACATATTGGCTTTGCTCAGAAGCAAAGATTAAACAAAGCACATATCCATTAAATGAACTCCAAATTACTTGGCTAAGCCCAGATGCTTCCATAGTAAAAGAAAGATTTCATTAAAATGGCAATGCGTACACAAGCATTTCAAGTGCAAATTCTGCCCTCCTCTCCAGTTCTTGTGTGTGACTTGATACAAGCACAAAAAGTGCAGAGTTTATGTTGCAGCATTGTGTTGTGTGTTTTGCTCTTTGACCTCCCTGGAGAGGCCCATGGAAACATTTATGGTCATGAACTCCTGCAACTTCCAAGATCCCATGATCTCATGGCACAGAGTTTGAAGTTCCTAAGCACCCAACGGTGGGAGGATCTTAATATCAATATCCTGGCAGGATCTAAGATAGTAGGTCTTAAATTGTTTTATCTGATTACTCCCTTTTTCGACTGTCTCAAATAATGTCATTACTACCCAACTTCTCAAAATCAGACTCTCTTGTTTTACACATTTGTTTTGGCACTGGAAGTCCAAAATGAATCCTCAGCTCACAAACAAGCAAACACAAATTGCTCCATTATCCTCAGGATATGCCCCAATCACCTCCAATTTAGGAATTCTTGGCCTGGAATGGGACAACTCACCACAGCCAACTCACCATGGCTAACTTGCTTAGGAATAATTTGTCATGTCTAACTTGCCACAGGACAATTTAACCATTTTAATTTAATTATTTAAAACAAATAAATATTTTATTTTTTGTCATTCACATTTCATTCTGTCTCTCCTTTTGCATCCTTTCTTTAATGCTTCCATTCCACCATTTCTTTGATGGTAGTGTAGCAGCGAATTGTCCCACGGCGAGTTGGCCATGGTGACTTGGCCGTGGTGAGTTGGCCATGATGAGTTAGCTGTGGTGACTTGGCCGTGGTGAGTTGGCC